AGAAAACGCGCTATGAGGAGTTGACTACCACATCGCATGATATGCGATCAAAGGAACTTGAGAGCCTATACTAGCGCCTTATTATTCATGCACAAACGGTTTTGTGAGTGGTCTTCAAAATTATCCCGTTAACCAAACAGCGTTAATGTTCGTGCAGAAATAAGTTCCTTCAGCATTCGCCATTTGGAAGCGTTTGAATGTTACATGTGCTTCAAGGAATTAATAACAGGAGATTTTCGCCATTCTACGATAACGGAATTCGCACCATCACTCACTCAGAGTGAAGAGAGAAGTACGACGTAAAAGCCCTGAATTAATGCCATTGATACGGCTGGTCATGAAAAAGCTACTAAGGAGGCGAACAGTGCATAACATAACATGACATTTTCATAATCCAAATGGAAAGCAGTGCTGACGAACCTAAGAGCATTTCATAAGCTGCAGTTTTGTCCTGGCGACGTCTATCAGGAAGCATCCAAAAGAGATTGGAAAATGCTGCGGCACGAAAAAACGCCCACGGTTGGAGGAAGTCAAACGGCCCCATCACCTTCCCACATTCAGGAAAGAACTGAGCCACCGACTGAAATGGGAATGTCCGCAAACAGAAATGACAGCGATTACCTCAACAAGTTTATGTTTCGATTCATTAGAATGCTCGCACTCATTCTGCGTCTGTGCTTTGTGCATCCTTGAAAAGCTGTGGTAGAAATTGATGAGATCGCAAATTTTCTTCAAATATTGCAGAAATGCGTGTCGTTTAGTTTCTTTCAAAGAGAATGAATCTCCTAAAGGGAACCAATCGAAGATGCTAGGCGAGAAATGCCAACCACCCTACCTAGTTCCATAAGTTTCTCCGTAATCCAAGTGCTTAGATCAATCATTTCTGTGCAGAGGAGGACCCACACAGCCTTGATAAACCAATCCGATAAGATGAAATTTGCAAGAAGACCTTCCAGCTTGGCAATACAGGTTGTAAAGTCTAAATAGAGGAGAATTATACCAATTGATAACCCACTAGACTTCAGGGAGGCTTTAAAAGTTCTTGAGCGAATCCATCCCCGAAGCCGAGAAAATGTCTCAAAATCTCTAGCCTCGGATGTGTGTGGAAACCATAAGTCCAGGCTTAAACGAATCCCAACCAGATGTTCATTCTCCACAGCACAGAGAGCATTGAAACTGTGAAACAGATAAAAAGAGAGAAAATTCATTACCGTTTCAGGGTCCGTTTAAGATTACTCATGTGTGGAAGAATAAAACGCAAGGATCCGTTAATCGACCAGCACTTTAAGAGAGGCCCATGAACCAGTGACCAGACTTCAAGATTGTTCGAACAAGGTAAATAGATAAGCATGAATTTAGCAGTTCTTGGTTGACGACCAGGAGGTGGAAAGCGCTCAGTGACGTCGACAAAGCAAGTTTGTGCCTCTTTGTAGCCTAAAGGGAAGAGAACTACAAGCTAGTGACAAAAATTACCCTTCCAAAATCGTAACGCAACGCCGCGGTGGAGGTCCACAAGAGTAATACGGGACTGGTCGTCTGTGATTGCGCCAAACCGATGATCTGAAGAAACAGTAAACGTGCCCCAAAGAGCTCCGCGACTCATATCGGCGAGACTGTAGAGCTTCTTGAGGACCCAATTGGGATTTCCTGGCCAAATGTAGCACGGCCCATTCTCGGACTCAGTCCAGAAAGGCCTCGTCCGACTACATAAACATGAATTCGGAAAACTAAAATCAAAATAACCTGCCCAATTGCTCTGCAATGTCTTTCATTTTTTCCTTTACTTGATGGTATTCCTTTGGCATAAGAGATAAACTCCGCTAGGCTCAATATCAACAAGCTTTAAAGTATAAAGGTACCTTAGAGGAGCTTTGGAAAAAAGAAAGGTACGGAATATTAGTATCGACTGCAAAATAGAGTGAATTGTGCACTGCAGCCGAGTCATACTGGTCAGAGGTCAGAGAAATAGAATTTTCGACAAGAAAATCAAAAAAATTGGTTGATTTATCTATATGTGAGAAGCTAAATGGACCGATTTGAGACATACATATACACTGCACAGTGGATGGATTATTCACGTTAGTTGGGTTGTAATGAACAAAGATTGGGAGATCCGCGGTCAAACCAGCAATATCTGCTAACCAACCAATTAACAAGTGTTGAATGTTCACCTTTCCCAGTCAAA